GCTCCTCAGCCTTTCTTTTCAGGTTTGTAACTTTTCTTATGTGCTCGTATTTTTTCCAGATATCGATGAGTGCACACAGAGTGCAGGCATCCTTTGTACTTTCCGCTGCGTGAACGTTCCTGGCAGTTATCAGTGCGCCTGTCCCGAGCAGGGATACACCATGGCAGCAAATGGACGAACTTGCCGAGGTAATGATGAGCTCGAGGAACTGGAAGGATGATAACATGAAACTTTAATCTTTAGAATGATCAAAGACATTACAGAAGTTCAAGTTTCCGTTTTGGTAACTAGTCTTTGTTAAAAGGCTAGTATTTGACAAACTTGCCATCCGTTGATATCTGCAGTGTCAGTTTTTCCATGGATTTAAGAAGTAGCTGTTGCAACTCACCTATCAATGTAAGGCAATTGCCTAGGCGAGTTTCTCAGTGTTTCTTGCTTAAGTGAGTTTATTGAACAAGTTGAGGCGTTTGATTGCTTGCATGTGCTACCAGTATTGGCACATCAGTAAGTCATCTGATTTTTTAGAGGTGGCAGATGTACAAATCCGCCACTTCACCAGGAGCTGCAGGAGCTTCCTACCCCAGAAGCCAGGAGAGTGAATCTAGGAGTTGCATGGGGCTGGGACATGTTGAAGTTTGCCATCTAAGCTGGAATATGTTGGCTGTAGTAAATGTTAATGTGAATGACATGTACCCTCCGGCCCCCACCCGTCCTCTCCAGAATCACTGAAATGTGTGCTGTCTGTCTGGAGCTTTTCATCTGGTGTGCAGCTGTCTGGTTTGAAGTGAGCCCCCATTTCCAAAGGATGCCCTGACGGTGTAATGATGATGGAGGATCTGATTACCTTCATGCACTCCGCACACATCCCTGCAGCCAGTTACACTAACTGCCAGGCATTTCCTGCTCTTTGGGTTTCAGGAACCCTCCACATAACTTTTTGTTATGTATCCTCTACACTTAAATTCTCACTGGTAACAGCAGTGAATTTACACTGCATAAATCACGAATGACATGAGCATAGTTGATATTACCATTGTAGCAGAGAAACTGACTCAATGAGAGCAAGGCCCTTCCAAGGGAGTGGGTCTTGTGAGGAGCTTTCTTTTTGTAGGTGATGTTATATTGGGCCTCAGAATCATCCTCCGAGGTATGCTTTAACCTCTCGTGTAAAAGCCACCGTTAGAAAATCTGTGGCTATAGCTCTCCTGGGGTGCCCACGGCGGCAGGGGCCGTCATGGTGTGACACGGCGGCGGCATGGTGTGACATCGCGCCCGGTGCCCGTCACGCAGGCCGGTCCTGCACAGTGAGCTACGCTTGGAGCACGTTTCCAAAGGGCTTGCAGAGCCTGGGACAAGTGTCCTCCTTCTGGGAGAAGGGAGCCGACTTGCCAAGTTGGGCACGTGAGGCAACCTTGCGTTGCATCTAGTCGGGCACTGGGAGCAGCCCTGAGTGCCTCCCATTTTTTGGCACCGGTGAAGCTAGTGCGGCCTGCTGAGCTGTGCAAGGGGTGTAACGGGTCAGCTCATGTTGAGATCTGCTTGAAAAGATGGTCAAAGGGACAATCTGAATTGATGTCAGTTGGGTTAATGCAAGGAGATTGTACCAGGTCCCTTCTGCCCAAGACCTGGCCCCAGCTGCTCGCCAGCCAGCCAGCTCTTGGGTTGCGAGTTACTAGGAGTGTGTTCTTCAGATTTCCTTTCTCTCGTCTCAGACAGATGAGTTAGATTTCTTGAAATAGAGCGTCAGCATATGGATCATTTTGGCGGGCCTGTGAATGGTATTTTTGCAGCATAGCCAGGCTGGTGGACTGAGTGTTTTTATGACAATAAACACAATATGGAAGAAATTTTCTTTTCACCTGAGGGCACTTTTGAGAATCAGTGAGGGGTTTAATTTGCTTTGATTCTCTCTCGCTTCCTCTTGTGTACTTTTCTTTGGACTTCTAACCCCTCAGTGCAGCGCACAAGACCAGTTCTCATCCAAGGGAAGGAAGGGGAGGGAGGTTACAGTTCTCCCCCAGTGTTTCTCCTCTGCAACGACTGGCAGAGCTGCAGAGCCCTACGCAGCCCGTATGGTCTGTCTGTTAGTATTTATTTCATTTTAAAACCTCTGTGTGTTGTCTAGACTTTTGGGAGTACACAATGTGACTGTGAGATCTTTGCCAATATTTTCTGCTCAAATTGGAGCCCTGTTATTGCATCTGGTTTTCAGCATTTTAAGGACCGTGGCTTGGGCTTGTGAATAAATATTCTTTAGGTAACCACATCCATGCTCTAGGCCAAGAAGTGTCTTTGAGATTTAGCTGTTCTTTGTTGTCTTCTGCAACATTACTTCTTGTTTTTGGGAAATATTTATGCTTAACTTAAGTTTTTAAATCTGTGCATGTTTTAAGTGTTGTTCTGAAGTTGCCATATTCCTACCAGCCTTGTGGCCCGTGGGGCTCCTGCATCAGGCAGCTGCATGGCGGCGGTGGCTCTGCTTTGCACTCATGTCCTGCTCTGATCCCGGCCAATCTTTGTGTGTACATAAATCCTTCTCCTAACTTAGCTCAGCCTTCTCAACTCTCAAAAAGTTGGTGCTTGCTTGAAATACCTGCTTGCTTTAAACACAACTTGATCATACTCTGATGGGATTTGTTTATTCTTGAGGAGTCATTTTTATCGCATTAGACCAACATGTAGATGAACTTAGTGCTCGCCTCCATTGATGATGTGTGTTTGCTGGGACGGAGGTCTCCAGACATGTCCCTTTTCACTCTGGACGTCCTGGAAGGATGCGTGAATCCTTATCACTCTCTACAGCTACCTGGAGGAGGTTGTAAGGAGGCGAGACTTGATCTCTAAATAACTACTGCTGGGATAAGAGAAATGGTCTCAAGTTGCACCCCAGGAGGTTCAGATTGGGTATTAGGAAAAAATTCAACATGGAAAGAGTAGTCAAGCACCGGAACAGGCTGCCAAGGGAAGTGGTGGAGTCACCGTCTTGAACACTGGCAGTGTTGAAGAAATGTGTAGATGAGGCACCTAGATATATGGTTTAACACGCGTGGTGTTGAATGGGTTATTTTATTTTGTTCCCCTTCAGCCTAGTTCACAATATTGCATATGCCACTGCCTCTGACACGCCAGGGAAAAGAGGGCAAACAGCGTCACATGCAGCTCCACCTCGCTGCTCGTGTTCACTTTGAGCCTCAGGTGCTTTTTTATTACAGGGGGAAGTAGCAAGAGAAGGAGCTCTGGGGTTTGAAGAACTATTTTCCTTTTAATGTTTATTCTGTCCTGCAGTTAAAACAAACCTGGAATGAGGATGGTTAGATTTGCAAATCATGCAAATATTTGCAAAGTCCGGGTAAACAGTCAACCTCCTCTGGAGGGAGAGAGCCAGCGCTGGCCACGCGCCGCGGCTGGAGCCGGCCAGGCCCCGTGCCAGGCAGGGACGCCGGGCAGCACCGCGGGCGCTCTTGCTGGCCGCGTGAGCTCTTGGTAGTAACAATAGGATGTCAAGGAGGAAAATCAGCTTTTTCCCTTAGTTAGTGGCTAAGATGTTTGAATTTTAGGGCGAGCGGAGTCGATGCACTTTCCTCCATTGCTCCCAAGTGTGGAGAGGCTGGTGTTGTGAGCAGAGCCTGGTGCAGCTCCTCTGTGCTTGCACCTCACATCCTGCGCGCTGGAATGTCTGTGGCACCATTGTGACTGCTGAGGGGGTAACGCAGCGGCCTGGCGGCCAACGCGTGAGCCCCTCCAGACCATGCTCTCACACACAGGCCTCATCTCATAAGCATGTTATGGCCCATAAAATTGTGGTTACTCTCTGGTTGTGAACTGACTGTGTGTCCTTCCTTGCGCTTCTGCTTGCCAGATATCGACGAGTGTGCCATCGGGACCCACAACTGCTCCGCTGCCGAGTCCTGCTACAACATCCAGGGCAGCTTCCGCTGCCTGTCCTTCGAGTGCCCGGCCAACTACCGCAAAGTCTCCGACATGTAAGGCTGGCCGCGGGGCGCTCTGCAGGGCGCTAGGCTGTGGCCTCCGCAAGATCCTCCGTGATGCTGCTCTCACAGCAGAGTCTGCCAGGCCATTTTACAGACGTTTGGGGGCTCCCTTTTCCATAGCCCTGGAGCTCCTTGGAGGCTGCTTCCTCTGAGAGTAAAACTCTCTATTCACAGGACAGGGAATCTAAGTTGCTTATAACAGATGCTTTTCTGGTTCCCAGAACTAGCAGATTTGCAAGTTCGGGAGCTTCCCTTCACTCGTGTGCGTTGGCTCCCTGTGGGTGCCATGCTTTGGTTTTCCTGGAGCGCTGGGCCGCCACGTCGTCGCCAGCCTGGCTCTCCGGCTCCCTGTGCCCATGGGGCACTCCCAGGTGTTGCTCTCCATGTCCCCGGGCTCCCTTACTCTGTTGTACTCTGACATCTGTAGCATTTATGAATGTTTGCAGCTCTGCAAAGGCAGAACACACAAGGGTGAGTTACTCAGCTGACGTTTGCCTAGTCAGCTGTTTGTCCATCACATGCCGGAGATCTTTTTGACTTAGCTGTTCACTGAAATTTATATTTTTTTCACTCATGACTGCATGGACACTGAACACAGTTTGTTTTTCTTCTCTTAGGAGGTGTGAGCGCATCAGCTGTTTTAATTACCTGGACTGCCAAAACACTCCCGTGCGCATTACCTACTACCAGCTGAACTTCCAAACCAACATCGTGGTCCCAGCTCATATCTTCCGTATTGGCCCGTCACCCGCCTACGCTGGGGACAACATCATCCTTACCATCAACAAGGGAAATGAGGAGAACTACTTCAGCACCAGGAGGCTCAACTCCTACACGGGTATCGTCTATCTCCAGCGACAAGTGAAGGAGCCTAAAGACTTTTTATTAGATGTAGAAATGAAACTGTGGCGTCAGGGAACATACACCACTTTCCTTGCCAAAATTTACATATTCATCACAGCTCATGCATACTGAGGCGTGTATTGACATTGGAGTTTATTGGTGCTATGCTCTTTACCTGCTCTACCAAAGCTTTATACTGTTGAACTGGCATTTTATATATTTAGCCTTTATATTATTTTTCTATCATTGCTACAAACTTTTTTTAAACTGTTGTGTAAATTAAGTTAATTTTTATCTTTTTTTGGTTGTCTGTTTTCTTACATAATTCTTTACATCATCGTTTGACAATGAGCGAGGAAGGGTTTGAAAGGCAGTACATGTGTTGTATGCTGGAACATTTTCTTAGAAATTATTTTTTGCCTTAGTCACATCTGCAGGGTGTTGCACTAGAAAGGAGAGATGTTCACTTGGGAGTACTGGTTTTTGCCACTGACTAAGGGAAAAATCCTTGAGCAATTTCTCTTTACCACCAAAACTCATGGTCTGACATAGCCACCAACATCCCGGAGTTTCTCTGCATTCAGATGCGGTGTTGAAGGCTGCGTGTGTACACTGATGGTTAGCTCACCTCATATTAAAGGTTTATTTTCCTCCTTCTAGCTTTTTTAATATGTCATCTAAAAATATGTATGAATAAAAGAAAACTCCACCAGTGGACAAGCCTATGATTGAGTCTTGCTTTAGTAGGACTACTCATATGCTTAATGTTAAATGTTTGCAAGACCAAGGTCTTGAAAGAACGTCATGCTTTAGGGTAGAAGCTGGTACTGCCTTTTGTAGTAGTCACCTCTATAGGTGCTTGAGCTCCTCTTTATACAACCCCATTCCGTTTAGGTTACTATAGATGCAAATTGGCTGTATTGCAATTCTTACAGGAACGTCAAAGAGGAAACATGGGAATAATGATATAATCAGTTACCACTTCTTATTTTGACCCCCGGGTGTCCATTTGTGATTTTAAATAAAAAACAAGGGGCAGTCACTTTTATTCTTCAGGAAAATGCCTTCAATTATGCTACTAATGACGCAGAGGAAAATGCTAATTAAATTGGCAGTTTGTATGATGCCATTTAGAAACAGCACAACCTAAGGTTTGAACTGGATTTCCTCTAGTTCCACAGGAAACTGGATGAGGTCCAGAGTTGAAGGCTGTAACAACGTATAGTATAATCAAAGTATTTTTTAGAATTTAGAATGGAGTATCAGAACCTCTTTGCAACTGATGCAAAAAAGAAAAGAAAAAAAAAAAAGCTCCAGCACTGAAATTTTCTAAGCTTTCTTTGTTCCAGCTATAATTATTCTGCAAAATGTTTTAAATGAAATACATAGCTACGCTATATTGATGTTTACTACACTACAGTTTAATAATCTGTTCTTTTCTATAGTAGATCTTATTTTGATCAATGTGTACTGTACATAAAATTACAGAGAAGTCAAATCTTATGGCTTTCATGCCATAATCAACTATTTTATTATATTGTAAAATATTTGTACTACAGCTTAAAATCTTGTAAACACTACCTATAGGGTGAGAGATGTACTGTATTCATTATATCCCAAGGCCCATTTCTACCACTTCAAAAAAGTCATTTTTTAAATTGGGACTTTCCTATTGATAATAAAATACAAATCTGACAACATAGAGACCCATTCCTGGAGAAAACTTATTGATACTCCCCAGCTGCAAAATAAGGGATATCTGCATGTTTGCGTACAGCAAGCTTTCCTTATTTTCCGATAAAAACTCTTAGTAAAAGTGACCCTTTTCCCTCCATCTGGTGTTTTCCGCAGCAGAGCCGTGCTGACCGAAGCGCGCCCGTTTGTGCAGTGTGTCATTCCCGGGAGCGCCGATCCCAGCGCAGCAGGCCTGGCGCGATGCCGCGCGCCGTGCGGGTCCCGTCCGCAGCCTTCGTGCTCGGTGGCCCTGCGCTTCCCCAGTCCCGCTGGAGCGCGGCGGGAGTCACTGAAACCCACCGATTTCCGTCAGCATTAGTATTTGATGGAGTGTAAATGACATTCAAGCTTCAATGGTCTTTCTTGTCAGAGATCAAGTGGACAAGTCATTTGTTATTCAGAGACCTTCTACTGACTAAAAGCAACCATAGTCAATCATGTTAAGGATCTGGCATTTGTAGTACTGACTTTTCATTTTCTAGACGGGTGACTGATGAAGAAAGTTTTAGATGAGGCTTTGCATACTATTGTAAGAAAAACGCTCTGTTGTAAAAAAGCATATATCTGCATCAGCACTGTATCCTATAGGCATTCAAAGAGGAGAGAAATGGTTGTGCTGTACTACTGGTCAAAGGGAAGGAAAGGTGTACGGCAGATAACTTGACAATCACCTTTTCCCAAATAACCACAAGGGCGGTTTGCCTCTTGGCCAACGTGGAGCATGTTTCCTGTTAGTTTTAGCTGCAGTGTGCGGAGCATTAGTACCACATGTTTGCTTTTTCTTAGGGCAGCGCCCAAGATTCAACTTAAATAGATGTATCCAACAAAGACCCACTGATGGATGAGGACTTCCCCAGGATGGGACTGTTTTTTTTTTTCTTTTTCTACTGATCTAGCTCATACGAGGCCCAATTCCCCTCTACAATAATGTCCCTTTCACTCTATTGGCAAGGTAAAATGGACAGAAAATGACTATATACATCAACCTGCATGAAAGAGGCTTAGGGGAAAAGAAATTGGTCTTGGACTGGACTTTTATGGCCTCTTGTACCTCCTAAATAATGAGTTAAGTAGTTCCCCTTGGCCTCCCTTGGCTTCTTTCCCCCTTCCCTGGTTGAGGTGAGTTAAAAAGAGCTACCCAAGGTCTGTGCAATATGATAAAACTGTGAGGAAGGCAATGCTTGCAATCCTAAAAAAAAAAAAAAATCATAGCAGACTTGGGACATAAGAACCTATGTGTGCAAAAACTCAAATTATTAATATTTTTCCAAAATTGGATGGGTTTTATGTGACCTGTCTGAACAATATATGTTCTGCTTAATTTTGCAGGTTACGTACTCTTGCATCTATGTAACCCGACCTCTGTGTGCTTGAATATTATGTTTCTTGGCAGGTCCAGTGTGTCCGGAGACTGAGGAAATTCAAGTGTATCACTGCAGGGAAGAAGAAATGAGTATCTGCATGCTTGCCGGAAATCTGAGCAGGTCAATTATAGGGTGAAACATCAGCTTCTCTTTCATCTGGAATGTAAATAGCAAATAGCTAGAACGTTATAAATAGCAGTAGATGGGTGAGAAAGATGTTTTTACCCAAGTTGCCAAATGGCTTTCTTGCTGTACCAGGGGGGAAGTATGTTATGCTTTTTTAATGCAAAAACCCCACACATGTATGAATTAGTGCAGATACTGACTAGTCAGTGCTAGGAGCTGGGTGCAGAGAGGCACACAAGCCCCCAGCCAGTGTCCTCCTCATCCTGGTCACACCAGTGACTGGCACCCAGCTCTCCCACCACCCGTGAGGCTGCCGATAGCCTTAATGCTGCTGCCTTTGCCTCGCTCAGCTGCAGGAGCAGGAGGTAACTAGGAGGCTATAAATTGGCTCCAGGTGCTAGTGGTTGCTCCCTGCTCACCCTCGTTGTCTTTCCCAGCCTTGGGGGAAGCACTGCTGGGCTCTGGAAAATGCTGCTCTTCTTCCACCACCTCAATCCAGCTAGGAGCGAGGAAAGGCCAAAAGCTGCATCTGTGACACGGGAGTAAAGGTAACGTGCCCAAAAAGGGGAAGGGAGAGTCTGCTGTTCCCCGCTACTGTGAGCAGAAGCTGTAGCGCAGGATTTGGCTTTCTGTGTGGTGTTGGGTATGGCTTTGAGCCTATGATTAAAACTGCCCTCCTTTAAGGGCAAAAACGTAGTGTGTGTGTCCCCTCAGACCTTTGCTTTCATCGTGTTTGCAGGGGGCAGCATCCAGGCAATCTGCTGCACGTTCTTTATCTTGCTCCTTGTTTTCTCTAGTACATGGGAGTGAGAGGCCTTGGCTGTTCTTCCCAATTCACTTTTTTTTTTTTCTTGTTTCCATTGCTCTTGCCTGTGCCATGAGGAAAAGAAAGTCTCAGCTGGGGAGAATTAGGGTTCTGGAGTAAAAATAGATTTTTTTTTCTCTTTTTTGAGGCTAAGTAGAAATCTCTTTCCATTTTCAGCATTCTCAGCATCAGAGGCGCTCGTATTGAAGTGGCTGTTGAAAGCCATAATTTAATGAGATCCAGTTTCAGTGATGCAGACCCAAATAACGCGATTGAGTCGGTTGTATTCTAAAACAATTTTCTCCTGCGTCACTCTGCAAACGGCGGTTGCATGGGGCTGCTGAGGAGCTCCTGACGAGCTCCACCCTCCGCGGGTCCTGCTCCCGTGCCCAGCACGTGCCACCCGAGGAGCTGTCTGGTGGCATCAGGCCACCTCACCCTGCTCCTTGTGCATGGGGCCGCTCCTGTCCCCACACCCAGTGTCGCAAGCGGGGCATCTCCCAGCCCCATCCCTACTGCGTGAACCTGCGTAGCCGTGGGAAGTGTTTGGGGACAGATAGTGACATGTGAAAGTAATTACAGAATAAGTTAGCAAAAATAACTGTCTCAATTTGAATTGAGAAAAACGTATCCCAAATAAGTGCTTTGAGACTAGGGAAGTAGAGCTGCCTCTCTGTAGATGCGAATCCCTTATGATGACATGAAGTCCGTAGTGGGCTACATCCCAGCAAGGACGTTCTGGCTCGTGGTGATTCCAGAACGGCTTGGTGCAGCCAGGTGCACTGTTGCTCACTCTTAGAAGAGGTTACGTCTTCCCTCGCATCAGTGACCAGAGAAAAGAATGCATGTGGAATACTTTCCACGTGACAAAGACTGCTGATCTTAAACCAGGAGCACTGTAGTGAAGCAGTCTTGGAGCTTCGATAAACTAATGATGCAGGGCTGGCAAACACAAAGCGATCTCTTGAAGATAATACACCGATTATGAGAAGTTTGTTTGCAGTTGAAAGGGAAAGCAACCATCTTCCTCTGTTACAAACACTTTTCCTCTAGATTTGTAAGAGTTAATCTCAGCTGTTGCAGAGGTCTGTTATGATTAATCCTGTTATCTTTTCATTGCACCTTGAGGATATGGTTTTCACACGCAGAAGGGCAATTTTGGGTAGAGAAGTTAGGGCCAACTGGTGTAAAAGTGTGTGATTCTGGAGGGACCATAGGAGACAATGCAGAAATAGCAGCAAGGTCAGGGCAAGTCCTGCACTGAGCTATTAATCCAGTCATTAGACATGTGTATAGTAATGAAACTCTATGTTGTGGAAAACTTCCAATTTCTATTTAGGCCATAGATGCAATACTATACCGAAGTGCTCTAATGCTTACACTAATGTAAATGCGTGTGGAGGTGCTCTGGTATTGATGAGAGGAGACTGGAGGCCAGTAATGACTCATACTTGATGTAATCACTAGAGCTGGGAGGACACAAGTGCGGAATTCGGTCACAAAGTTTAGAGATTGTCAAAGTTGGCGTAACATTCATACTATGTGTTCAGTCTAGGGGAGTCTGTAAAAGGAACTGCAGATATCCATAGAGAAACCCCTTTTCCAAACCACAGATTCTTCCTGTATTTGGCCTTACATTAGAAAATGCTTCTCAGAGCCGTGATTCACATTGGTAGGAGTTTGCAACCTCTATTTGCACAGAAGTAGCAATTATTTATACAAGTAATGCTGTAAACTTGAAAGACTGGAGATTAAAAGAGCTGAAGTCTATTCTTGGCGCTGCTCAGATAGACAGCTGGGCACAAATGAATTGTAATGTAGACAG